TCTTCTTTCTCCAAAACTTTGCAAATCGGTCGGGATGAGAAGGCTCTTGCAACAGACATTGCACACCAAAATCGGACATGAAGGAGATTATGAGTGCGCTTGCGGACTCTGAGACTTATTGGCTACGTCTACATGTGGAATCTTCCTCTTTCCTTCCACCCAGATCCCATCTTACCAAAATCAACATTTGGCACCGGGATGTCCGTCCAGCAGCCCTGTCCACCGAAAATGCTCATACCCAACTGCCAATGTGCAAAGCACATTCGACTCAAACTCATGTCTCAAAGACACCAGGCGACTCTGGAATGGCACAAATATACTTACCTGGAGATATGAGTCTTCTTCTCTTCTTTGCCTAAAATATATGTTTTACACTGGCATGGAGAAAGCCGCGGCTAGTGTGTGTGGATATATAAACCCCCTCCTCCTCCCTTCTTCCTCTTGGTATCTTCTACACAACTGTGTATTCAGAACACCAAAATGTGCCTACCTATACAATATGGCGGCGCTGTCTTCTCCAAAATCGACTTTTTCATGGGCAATGTTTCTGCCTCGCTTCCTCCTTCTTCTCTTGGTACCTTCTCCACACTTGAGTATTCAAAAATACCAAAAGCAACACCCTATTCACAAAATGGCTGCGCCGTCTTCTCCAAAAAACCATCAGCCGTTATGTAAATGTGTCTGCCTTTCTTCCCCTCTATCATTCGATGTCTCCGCCATACTCGAGTATTCGAAATGCCAATAATCCCGCCGCATGGCTGCGTCGTCTTCTCCAGAAAGCTGCAAGACTCCTGGTTATGAGTCCGCCTTCCTTCCTCTTCTTCGACGAAACATCAAAATTCCGGTTCTACCTTCGCATGAGGAGCAGCTCTTTCTCCGGCAATACAACAAATCCTGCTCAAACCGAAACATGGAGAGTACCTTCTCCTCTGAGCTGCGACATGCAAGAACCAAAAGACAAATTTGATCGAGTACATGTGTCCGCGGTCCAGCGCGCGCCTTCAAACACTAAAATCGGCGTCCCCCACCCGGATGACTTCTTTCAAAAGGTGGCTTGTCCGTGTCCATATCTTTGCCTACAGTTCTCTCCGCCTCTTCATCTTCAAAATGTCAAGCAAAAAGGTCATGGCCCGTGAGAAAGTAGCACCGCAACGAAAGCATGAAGCTTTGTTGCAAGTCCAGCGTCAGCATATGCTCGATCAAAATTCTAAGAATCAAAGTTCTGGTATCGAAAATTCTCCACAAAATCGTGATCGTAAAATCGTATGATCCTGCCGGTGGCATAAAAACTCTTCAGTCATCCTCATGTGTTTGACTGAGAAGAACATCGTAGGCTGAATATGATATGGAGTGATGAGGATCATCATCATCATCCAATAGTAACGACACTGCAACCCAGCCAGTACGACACATCTTGAAGATCATATCATACATCAATCACATCCCAATTTTTGGACAGCAGTGCAATTATACTTTTTATTATCAAGCGCATACTAAGCTACGTGAGACGCCATCCATCCATCCCAATTCCGAAGGAATAAGAAAAACTACAAGACCCTCCTCAAGCCTACCAGGAGGTCGCAGAGGGGATATCGCCGTGATGCTAATGTTACAGGTTTCCATTTTCCGCCTATCCGTACGCAGATCGTAAGGTCGTGAAGTGATGCGTATGGCAGTCGTATCGAGAAAAGATATGACCGAACGCTACTTATCGGTGGTTGTGAGGTGCTTACAACTCCTGCTTAGCAGAGCTGGCGCTAGCGGCGGCAGCGTCGTATCCGCTCTGGGCAGACTTGGAGGCAACCGACGACGCGCTGGAAGCAGAGGATGAGGCAGCGGCGTTAGCGCTGGCAGCAGACTTGGAGATGGAGGAAGAGGATGAGGACGCGGCCTTGCCAGCAGCGCCGCTGAGGGAGCTGGCGCTGGAAGCGGCGCGGACGGAAGCAGAGCTGGCGCTGGATCCAGCAGCGTCGGTAGCGGAGGTAACGCTGGCCTGAGCGAGACCGATCTGCTGCTTGATCAAGTCGGTGTAGTAGGCGAAGCCACCGGTGGCAGCAGCGTACTGTTGGCCGACGTTGGAGGTAGCAGCACCGTAAGCGGAAGCACCAGAGGCAGAGACGGAGCCGGCAGAGGCAGAGGCGCTGTCACCGTAAAGGCGGGCACGGTGCTTGCGGGCGAGAGCGATGAGCTCGTTGCGCTTGGAGCCCTGGGGAACCTTGATACCGTTCTTGTCAGCCCACTCCTTGATCTGGCTGTCAGACCAGGAGTCGAGAAGGGCGTCGCTGAGGCTTTGCTGGGCGTTGGCAGCAGCGGAAGAGACGGAAGCGTAGGCGCTCTGGGACTGCTGGCTGGCAAGACGAGACTGGCGGCGGAGAGCAGCGATCATCGAGTCGCGGGTGTTGGGCTGGGGGACGTTGTAGCCGCGCTCATCGAACCAAGACTTGAGGTCAGAGTCAGACCAGGAAGCGTAGAGCCAGTCACCGGGGTAGTTGGCAGTCTCCTTGGCCTTCTCGGCTACGGACTGGTAGTTGTTACGGACGGCAGCGAGGAGGGAGTCACGCTGGCGGGGCTGGGGGACGGGAATGCCGTGCTTATCGGCGAAGGCCTTGAGCTGGGAGTCGGACCAACTGTGGGTTGTTAGTACTGTGCTAGAGACAGGTTTCTGGGTACTCACGAGTCGAAGATCCAGTCCTTGACACTACCATAGGCCTGGTTCGCGGAGTCCTCGGTCTCGGTCCAGTACACCTTGACCTGCTCAGCGAGGCTCTTGGCGTCCTTCTCGGTGCCCTTCTTCGCCTGCTGGCCCTTGAGGGTCAGGTAGTTTTGAAGGGTCTGCGCATCCCAGCTGGTGTAGGGGGTGACAACCTTGTCGTTCCAGTTGGCCTTGACAGTCGACTGGAGGTTCTTGCGGTCAGAGGGGCTGGGGTGGGGAACGCCGTGGTCGCTCAGCCAGCGCTCAAGCTCGGTCTCGTGCCACTTGTCGTAGACTGCTTCCTGGCGTCAGTATACTGCTGCATGGCGCTGTGGACAAATCAAAACAAACGGGAGGGGTTATGTACTATACGCACCGGCGCTTCCAAACCAGCTGTTGGCCGTTGCCGTGGCAGCAAGGGACACCACGAAGGTGGATGTAAGAGAGAACCTCATGATGTGTGGCTGCCGATGTGAGGATGTGCTTGATATCGATTAATGAAGCAAAGACGAGGGTTTGAAGGGTAGGCAAACTCGGCAGAGGTGTGAGAGCTAGAGGGTAGTGGTGGGCAGCGAGCTTATGAGGGGAGGGAACAGACAATGGCGGGTAGATTGTGTGCGTGCGAGTGACGTAGTGCTGCACGTATGGAGCTTGGGCAAACAAGATCCCCAACGCGCCTGCCTCGCAGAGCAGCCAATGAGGAGCTATGGCCACATGCAACCGCGTCTTTTGGCTGTGCGCAATTGTGAGATCGCCTTTCAGGAGCACGGTCTAGGCCCTGCATATGCTTGACGTTTTCGCAGTAAGAGAGCTCCGAGGCCTGTCACTTTTGTTTGCAAAGGCAGCGAGCATCATCGTGGCACAAGTCGTGCGAAATAGCGCCCCTCTGCCGGGCGTTGTGTCGCGATGGCATTTCAAAAAAATCCCATCACGTCGACAAATGCGGGGGCGATCCACACGCTAGCCCCCTACGTCATCCCCAAACATGCACAAAACTTATGAAGCCAAGCCTACTTTCAGCGCCCCGACGAGGATAGATAGCACAAGACAGTTCATGGGAGTATTTGATAAATGTTGTACATTTCATGACACTTCTACGAGTCAATTCAGCTAATTGTACACCATGCTAATGTTGTCCGAACATTCACCCGCCCCTTGCTTATCCTCGTACGCCTTCGGAGCCGCTTCGTCCACCTTCGCCTGTAAATGTGTTAGCAACATGCCAATGCCCTTCGTCAAGCTATGACATACCTTTCCAAAAACCGCCGGGGACTTTATCCTTCTCTGCCTCTTCGTTGCTGACCTTCTCATGCGCCTGTTCCGCCCTGTTATCCATGTCCTTGTTGTGTTGCTTGACGTCCTCGCTCTGCTCTTCAGAAGCCGGCGGGTTTTCGTTGAGTATTTTGGGTTTCGCACCTTTGACTTCGTTGGGCGAGGGCTTGTTGTCTTGGCCCTGCTTGACGGCTGGCTCTTTGTTGTCCTTCATCTGGCGGGCCGATGTCGAGAACTCGCGCTTGCCGGAAGAGCTCTTAGGAGCCGGTGACTCGGATGTAGGCTTGGGAGAGTCATTCTGGCTGGCGTTGCTGTCCTTGTTCGGCGACGACGAAGATTTGCCCTGGGCGACCTTGGGAGGTGCGGGGCCGGGGTGCTCGAGGTTCTCGCTGGGGTTTGCGCCCTGCTTCTCGGGCTTCTCTCCAGCTGGGTTGCCCTTACCAGAGCCGTAATCTGAAGTCGCGAAACGAACTTGGACGCGGGCACGGGGAGCCGCCGAGAGGGCTGCGGGCCGTAGTGCTGCCGAGCGCAGCATTGACATGGGTCGTAGGAAGCTCATGATGTGAATTGGTGAGATGCAATTGAAACTGACAAAGATTCCTGTGTTGTGAAGTGTGTAGTTTAAAGTTGACGTTGCCCGCCAAACGTAGGGTCTAGAGCTGCAATAAGTCCAAGCTCGTTGTTGACGTCATGGTTTCCTCAAGTGCTAAGCTTCCAGCCGCAACGCACGTCACAGGAGGCTCGCATAACCACATCTGCAGTGCCGCAGCGACGATCAACTAGCCTCTCAAACACCAGCCATTCACACGATACTGCACTTCAGCCGCTGTTTAGTGTAGATAAGACCTTGTTTGGGGGACTTTGAAGCCTGTTATGGTGACGGAGAGGCGCATTGCATCTCAAGCGTCTCTTCGGCATGAGCAGAACACATGCCAATGGCCTGCGATAACGCGGAGCGAGCAGCGAGCCATCACTAATGGCACGACAGTCGCAAGTACATGCACAAAAGATTCGTAGTTCCAAGAATGAGACTATCCTACCACTCACAATAGACAACAATATGGACCTTCCTTTCAAGACCCGGATAATTACAATCCGTCACACCATCAGCATCGTCCTTCTCATCAGCCTCTTTACACCCGACCGTCTTGCCGTCACCCATACTAGGACAATGAAGCACACCCGCATTAGTCCCATCGCTCAGGTATTCGCAGTCCTCTTCTCCAAATAGCGGCATGGTAAAGGTGCCGTGCGGCCACGGTGGAGTTGATAGGGCAGAGGTATCCAACCATTGCCGCGAGACATCGTTGAGGACGGGCACGCTGCAGCCATCCGCTTGGGTGTTCGGTTTGATCTCGAAGAAGGTCCAGTTGTTGTAGTCTTCGTCACTGCCTTTTGTGTTCCTGAAGATCACCGATAATGCCTTCGTTGGAGGCTCGGTTTGAGGTGGTGGCGGAGGTTGCGATGCAGGGGATGGCTTAGGCACTGCTGAAGGTGTTTTCGTCGTGCTGGGCTGGGCCGGTTTCCACGTAAGAAACGGAGTCTCCGACGTCAAAGAAGACTTTGAAGTTGGTGATGATGTGGCTATCGACGAGGGCGGTGGGCTTGAACTTTCGCTGCTTGAGTCGCTCATTGACGGCCTGATCGTTGTCTGGAGGGTGGACGGAGTAGGCACAGTCGAAGCTGGTGATGGGATGGGTGATACCGGTGATACCGACAAGCTGTTGCTAGGTCGAGCGCAAGTGTCGCCATCTTGACGTTTCATCAAAGCCTCGAACTCTTTCCACTCTGCTTCGTCCGCATCCGTCACCTCTCTTCCTCTGAGCAAGCGCAGGTCTTTACCACTGGATGCGACGGACCGTTTCTCTGCCTGCACAACCTGATCTGGAAATGGCTGCCATGTGTCTCTGTAACGGTAGGTCGGAGAATCCTCAAACCAAAGCTCTATCCCCGCAACTTGCTGCTGATTGCAACCGCCTTCTGCTGGTACAAGAGCGGCTGCCACTGGGTCATATTGAATATAAATCTTGCCTTTCGGGGTCGTCGGATCCCGATCATTTTCCTCAGCCGGAGAGTAGGGTATGATTAGTGCGTCATTCCGTCCAAGGATGTTGTTTAACAGATTTTTGATCTTGTCCACTTCGTATGGATAGTTAATGTCGTCACTGGCCGGGTTGATAGCAAAATCTCTATACGGCGTAATGATGAACGCACGTACTTTGTTTTCTGCAATGTTTTCGAAGCCTTCGCCGGGCACAGTGAAAACTGTAAGGGGGTGGGAAAACTCCGGACTACCATTTCGGAGAACATCCAATACATCACTTTGAAAAAGCTGTGGCTGTTCCATGGAAGGTTTTTCCCAGATGTGGGTAAGAAACATGCGTTTGCGGGAGATGACCACGACGGATGTGCAACCCCATAAGTTGACCAGGTGCCAATCGTCCGCTGTATCTTCCAGTGGGAACGTCAGCCCAGTCGTTCCTCGGCCCTGTTCAAGAGAGCCGTAAGGGTTAAGGCTATCCTCGATCTGATCAAGGAGCCATGCCCCAACATCGCCTGATAAAGTTAGTCGACGTCAGTGGAAGCTGAGTATTGCATATGGGCGATGCATGGCAGTAGCTTCCGATAGCTTTAAGAGGACACAACCAGCTATGAGACAAGTCACATACCGTTGTGCTCAGACCCATACGGGCTCGAAAGACTTCGCTTCGAAACATGATTAGTAGGGCGGCCGGTTTCCACTGGTGCAAGCCCTTCCGCGCTCAACTGAGGGTTGCGAAAGTGCGATACAGCAATGGTCGAGGTTGAGGAGATAGAAATGCTTTCAAAAGTTTCGGGAAATTCGGTTGGTGCAGGCACACTAGTCGCGAGTCTTCGTACATTCCCATTACAGTTGTCGCAGTCGGGGGCGCATTTCTGTCGAGTAGCCGTTGTTGTAGACGTGACTATAGATGAAGAAGTGGAACCGGTAACATCGCATTTGGTAATGGGTGCACCGCAGACTGTGGTGCACACATCATCTTGCGCCCGCTTGTTTGGCCCTCCTTTGGTCGTAGTTGCAGTCGCTGTACATGCAATATTGCAGTTGCTAACGGTCGTTAGAGTGCATGTAGAGGAGGAAGTCTGCGTAGGTTCTTCAGTCACAGATACCGAGTCAGATGGCTCGGAGGCTTCGTCTGGAACCACTTCGTTGAGAGCATCGAGCAACGGCTTGAGGTCATCTTGTAAGCCCTTGACAGTATCCACTGCGGCTGTCGTTCCGCCGATAACTGCATCCTTCACCTTGTTGGTAGTGTTGATGACACAGTTGACGAGCGAGAATGCTGTCTTGAACAACCCGCCGAGTAAATCGCGTTCACTGAGAACATCGTGCAATTCGTGATCTCGTTCGCTTCTTCGGCGTTTTCCAGACCCACATGGCTCAACTCCGTCTGTTGGCTTTGGTAGCTTGGCCAGGAAGCCAACTGCGTCGGGTATGATATTGTCTAGCTCGTCTGTCACCTCGGTGACATGAGCGACAGGATCTTCTATCCAGTTTTGGAGAATAGGAAAAACGCCCAAGATGGCTATGGATAGATCCGACGCACTCGACTGGACTTCGGTTCCAGTGGGTACCAAGGTAGTTACTGGCAAAGGAGGAATGGTGATACCGGGAGGAAGTAATGGGCTATTTGATGTTGCGAGTATTGTGGAGGCAGTGTTGGACGCTGAACTGACTACAGTAGGCTGTACGGTTGAATGGAGGCTTGTCTCACCACTGGCTGTAACTCCCGTGACGGAACTTGATGTAGTCGTTAGATTGCTAGCACTGGATACCGCTGGGGGAAACGTGGAGGTACTCGACGAGACTGGGGATGGAGTGTAAGACGAAGTGATAGACGAGACTGAAGGGGGGCCCGAAGGTTGGGAAGAAGTAGTAAGTCCTGCAGTTGAGGCCTTCGACAAAGATGCAATTGTGCTGGTATCCACGACGGTATCGTTCGTCTGCGTCGCCGAAGAGAGACTAGTGAACGAAAGGCTCGAGGAAGCCGTCGTATGTGGTCCATTGAGTGGAGCGGAAGGTTCGACGATAGGGGTGCTTGTGCTGTTGGCCGGCACCGGGAATGGGGCCTCACTCTGGAAGATCACGCTGCTGCTTCCAGTACCCGTACTGATCTGTGCCTCGATGAATGCCAAATGGGAGAAAAGTAAAGGAAATGCATTACCGCGGTGTAGGAGTTTCATGACGACGTAGTGATGCAGGAAGAATGGAACGATGGGGAGAGTACTTTGAAAGCTCCTAGAATCATGATCTTTGTTCAGCTTTATGTGTCATCTGGATGGTCAGCGTGCTTGCGCTTCCATTCACCTACAGTCCAATTTAGATATTCTTGCATACGCTCCATGTAGTAATTTGCTGCATATCCGAAGCGATTGCAAAGGATTGCCGTTGATGTTCTAAAATCGGGACTCAGGACACGTATTCTGCCTTGCGTCTCGCTGTCCATTTCTGCGCCGCGAAGCAGCGGTATTGCGAAGGCACGACGTTGTCAGATCGGTCAGCGAATCCAAGCAAAGAAAAAGACGGATGTTTGGTCCCCGAAGAGGTTTTGGCCCGTGGCGTAGCGTCATACTTTGTCGAGACCAGACGCTGATGGCCATGGGGGCTGATTTGACGATGCAATTCATCATGTTTGTGACTTGTCTGACGTTGCTGTATCAGCGGAATGCCAGGTGTACTTCGAATGCGAATCCACTAGATGCAGTGGTAGAGTTAGGAGAGGGAGATGACGATGTTGAACAGAAGGAAGCGATTCGAAGATGACGAGGATGAGTGCGACTGCCACTTACAGGCCGCACGGACGACCACGAGTCCGGCGCTAACCCCATGGCGACCACAGATGGCCATCCATCGTTCTTGGGTAGTATCTGAAACAGTACGCCGCATGCGCCGCATGAAGACGGCAATCCTACGGGGGGCCAGTCAGATGTATTTATATCGCGATCGCGACTGAGCGAGCAATCGAAACCGTCGCTTGATCTCACCACCCCGCTACGTTCCTCACCTGTGCACACTGTGCACCACCACCTGATTTCACCATGCCGCCGCATGCCGCATGTGCTATTACCAAAAACTCGGAAAGCGACCCATACTACCCAGTATTTCTGCAGTCGTGCGAGGATAATGACGCGGCCATTGCCTTACAACTGGCACCGGATCGTGAGCTTGGGATGTTGACATATGGTCTCCGCCGAGCTGTTGAACGCGGACATCTTGCCTTAGCCAGCCAGCTACTTGAAGTAGGTGCCAAATGGGATACGCGCACAGTGCATCTTGCATCCAGATCCCACGAAACGGTAAAATGGTTGATAGAGTCTGGTTACGACGTCAATACCAGCGTAGCCCGCGGTGCTACTCTCCTCCTGTAAGTCTGCACGGCAACTGCAACTACATTAACTAGCTTATTGGGATTAGATTCGTTGTTCAAGAAAACGACGAACCGAGCATTCGACTGCTTCTTAAATTAGGAGCGAACCCCAACCTCGGGCCACCGAAGAAGATAACAGCGCCAGCAACGAATATGCGTCCCATATCCAACTGTGGTCACACACTCAATAGCGCAGCCGCACACTGTAGCCCAGATATTTTCGCTCTTTTGCTCGCTCATGGTGCTGTGCTATCCAACTCTACACCGCTCCACCGTGCAGCGGGTAGTACAATCGACAACAGAGTTCCAATGCTTGAGTATCTTGTTGGAGATCTAGGCCTCGACATCCACGGTATGGACAGTGGACCACCTATTCCAGACGAATGTTGCGGACGCGAAGGCACGCCACTACACTGTGCTCTCCGCCGGAAGCGATACGAGACGGCTAAATGGCTACTGGAGCATGGTGCCGACCCCGATAAAAGCGACTCGTTCGGGACGCCAGCAAGAGCATTGATGAGGCGCCTCCCTGATGACAACGAACTTGTGGTTCTGCTTCGGGAGCATCGAAAGAACACTAAGTCCATCGCGCACTTCTGAGAAATAAGTTGGAGTCCTTGAGTCAAATGTATGTGTCATTGAGTTCGATGAGATTGTACCAAGGAAACTTACTAGCACCCTGCTCACCAAACGTACACTGCTACGCACGTTTAACACGTTTCCTACCCTCCCCATCTTTATCATTCTCATCATCACACTCCTCAAACTTCCTCTTAACCCCCCTCAAAACCAAACACCTAACCTCAGGCGCCACACCCCCACCCCCACCCACCACCACCCCCCTGCCCCAAGCCCTCTCAACCCTCCACCCCTCTCTAAACACCACCACCCCCTCCCCCTC